TAGAACGATCTGCATAATAGCAAAATATTTTATGTAGATACAAAGTCTTAATTTTAATTTAAGTATTACCGTATTAAAGAAAACTCAATAATTATTATTTATTTTTTTTATAAATAAGATAAACCGGCAAGCAATCTTTTAATACTAATTATAATTCATTAGGATTATTAAAAATGTTAGGAGATAATTTCCAAGATCAAAAACAAGAACATAATTAAATAAATTACTTTTAATTATTAGAAATTTTGTGGTAATATTTATTAAAATAATTATAATCTCACATAAAAGTTTACTATTTAAATATTGTGCTGAAAATTTTACAGTATCTACTAGTTAATCTTTCTTATTCCTGTAAAATTTGTTTTTTTTAAATGATATATTTCTCTAGTTCTTGATATTCTTGAAATGATTTTGTTTTTTATTTTAATCTTATTTAATATATATATTTATAAAAATCAGCCCGGAAAAATTTCACTTTCAAAAGGAGGATTAGTCCGGAGAAAAGAGGACACATAGTAATCTTATATAAATCTTATAAAAAGGAATTTGATATATTGCATAAAAGAATACTTTTTAAATTTTCTGTGTGTATCTTTCGAATAAGATTAATAATTTCTGGAATTTGTACATTTATTTTATTTATAGTTTCATTATTAATAAAAGAATTTCACATAATGGTATCTGTAAATGAATACAGAAATAATGTAATTCACTTGCAAATATTATATGATTTTTAAAATCAAGGAATAAATTATTTTAGCAAAAATTTACTGAAAGACAGCTACATTTAATGTATTAACAGGGAAATTTATAAAGTTCAGTAATAAAAATGTTTATGTTTCATGACAAATATTTAGTATATATTCACATAAACAAATATACAATTATTACTAGAATACCAGGTACAGTACAAACTTAAAAGTTATGATCTTATTATTGTAATATTGTTTAAAGATTTCAATATTGCAGAAAATAGAAGACAATTTTATTTTAAATACCGTTTTAAAATATAGATACATTTTAAAAACGAATTTATAAAATTGGAATTAAGATTTAAAATTAAGAAACTTGCCTATTCTTATTCATAAAATTTTTATTGGCGACAACATTAAACGTTTTAAAGATGCTAGTTTTTTGAATGGGGATTATTTAAAATTTAATTTATGTAAATCTTAAAAATAATTCTTAGAAGTTGAACTGAAAGAACCAGAAAATAAACAAATTTTAATTCTATTATTGCAGAAAAGAATCCACTTTTTTACATTTTTTTTTTTTTTTTGGTGATAACTGCTATTATGAAAATAAATCTGACAATTTTTCAAGTACTCAAGTTGATGCTGAATACATAAATTCGAGTAAATCATAGAATATAGGTACTTATGCTTTAACATTCTGGTAAGAATGTGGAAAAAATTCCATTGTTGGCTTAACCTGCTCGTAAATATTCGAGCATTCCTGCAATATCTTTATCATATGAATCTGTGTTTAGACTACAAATTACATTCTAGGCAAATGACAATTACTTTTGAGTAGTGATATAGTCCTAATTTTTAAAAAAATTTTTCTGCATAAAAATATAATTTCGAAGAAGAAATTAAAATTGAAATAAAATTTATAATTACGAATTATATTCCGAAAACAAAAGCAAAATTTTGTGATGATGATGATAAAATTAATGAAAAGTATGAAGTTAATGAAATTTCATTGCTATTACTATTTGAACAATGCTGTAATTCATCTGATTTTGATCAATGTTGCTCTATTATACTTTGATTTTTGCTTTTTAATAGAATCTTATTTTTCTATATTTTGAGACTTTTTTTAAAGTTTCGTTTATTCTTTTGCTTTAGTATTGTTTTGTATTCAATAAAAGAATTATTCTCAATTTTCAAAGCAATTTTTAATGTCATTTCATTTAAAATGCGTTATAATATTCAGAGTATTTTGTATTATTCTTTTATCTAAATGGGTTTAAAATACGATAAATAAAAGCACTTTTGTATCTTTTGTGTAGTTATATTTTTATTATTGGATATTTTATATTATTTTTGCAACACGAATGTTTTTTTATATTTCTTTTCTATTCGAAATCTTTCTACAATACGCTGAGTTACTTAAAAAAATAATTAATTAATAATTATTTCAATTTTTAGTTTTGAAGAGATAATTTGAACCACGTTATTCTCTTACATTTAAAATATATTAAAAAATCAAATTCGTCTTTGTTAATTTTATGAGGCAGACTATAGGGAAGCATTACAAGACTGATTTGTAATGTCTGTTTTACCATCTTTGGTCACTGTTTTCTGATCATCTGACACTGTAAACATTCGTGCAAACTTTTATATGCACATTTTAATCTTTGTTGGATATAAACTGCAGAAATTATCTCTTTAATGATGAATTTAGTCACTGCATATTCTCGAAACCATGCTGCCTTCTATTTTCGCAAACCACATTGTTACAACATAGCTGAATGCAAGGGATGTCATTTCATATTACAGAGTAATAGATCTATGTCTAGTAGGTTATTTTACTTTGTATTGTGTTGTCTGTATTGTTGTTTTTCAAGGTCGTACAGGAGACTAATAGGGCCATTTCGCCAGGACCTCAAATCTATTTGTTACAAATTATCTATCCAATTAAATTTCATGAGTATCAAAAATTCTTTTCATATTTTATTTCATATATAATGTAAATTTTAATGCTATTTTTATACTTTTCCTTTTTTAAATATATTAGAGACGTCTTAAAGATAAATATTCTTAGAATCTCATGGCATCCTTAAATTTAGATATCTCTCAAATCGTCTAATTTATTTATTTTTAGTTAAATTCACATTTTTATTAGAAATTAATGATGTTTTCTTTATATTATATTGCTAAAGTTTTCTCAAACAGATAAATATATTTAAAAAGCTTTATAAATTACTGCTTAAGTTAACTTTTATTTCTATTTTAAATCTTATTAATTCTTTCTTTAAATATATTGTAAGAGAATAAAAATTGTTCTAAGTGTCATGTTTTACTAGAGAGTTTTTACAGAGAATTTTATTAAAATAGATCTATGTATACATATATTAATTTATTTCACGCATAGATTTTCTTTATTTTGATTCTAAACATTATTCCATTAATTATTTAATAATTTATGTAATGTTGTCGAAACCGTGTTGTATTTGCTCATTGTGCCTGTACACAAATTTATGTAATATTAAAATAACTTATTTATAACATTATAGTGTGGTTCCTATTTGAATCAATGGATGCTTTAAGCATCATTATTCTCTGCTTAATTTGTGCTTATTTAATCAATAATTCATTTTCTCAAAAATACATACTGGCCAGCACATAGCTCATTAAAATTTAATTAAATAATTAAATCAAAGTTTAAAAATATATATATTAAAAAATATATATAAATTTCATCAAATATTTTAAGTAAATTAAATATTTAAAATAAATTTTGTATGCTTAAGAGTTTTATTTAATCTGGAATGTTTGATGAGAATTTTAATTAAGTGAAAAATTTCAACTTTCAATTAAATTCAATAAATAAATTTTATGAATGGCGGATACAAATGACAAAATTGATATCACGTATTTATTTCATTTTCTCTTTAAAAACATTGTTCGGTTAAGCGAAATATGTTCTTAACATTCAAAAGCAAAATATATAAAAAATAAATTAAAATTATTTATAGTCTTTTTGATTTATAAGAACTTATTTACATTGAACAACAGTCTGATCCAGAAGGGCTTTTAAAATATTTAAAATATTTGAATAATTAATAAATACTTTTCATTAAATGTTCATGAAGATTATATTGTAAATGGTCTCTATTTGCCATCATATTTTTAAAAACAACGTTTGAAGTTCAAACAAACTAAAAATTTTTATTACTTTTGTCAATGGGGAGTACTTAAGTCCCACTAGCTCTCCCCTGTATCCGTCACTGACTGACAACATATAAATCCAAATTTGATGAGATTTCGTCCAATTAAATTAATTTTTTTATAAGTTAACTGATAAATACCTTGTTTAAAAAATACAGAAAATAATAAGTTATAAGTCTACTAGTTTATATGGGAGTGAGTCAAAAAATATTACATTTACTTAGCCATTTATTAGAGATAATTTAAGTAATAAATTTCAATCTAATAATAATAATTATTATTATTATTATTTTTGAATCTGAAATGAATTAATTTTATATATATAATAGCTCTACTCATTATAAATTTTCACTTATGAAGCTGTTAAATGACTTCACAATTTATTTTAAATTATAAATGAAATAATCTTGTATTTACAGAAGTTTTGATATTTTATTAATGAATACTCTGATAATGGATTCATTAAAAATTCAAACGATTATAACTTCTATCATTTCTTGATCATAAACGTACTTATTTATGTAATAACTAATTTTAGCTACTTAACTACTGGTATTCTGTTTGAAAATATAATAAATTTTTTGTTGCTCCAGCAAACTACTTTCGTCTTGTAAATAAAGAAAATTCGTTTCGATCTCTTCGTGAAATCTAATACGAGCTATTAGGTATAAACATGACTTTAAAACTTTCATAAAAAATAAATTTGCGCCATTTTGTCTGTATCAATACTTCTACAACGTAAAAGCAAGTATTAAATTTCGAATTTGTTCCAATACTCTACGAAATCTGTTTCTATATCGATGCATTTTGAATTTTAAAAGCTTCAAGAGGTAAAACTCGGATAAAGTTTTTGAGTACAGTACATGAGGTAAACAATTTTCGTTTTTTAAAATCATTATTAAATTATATAAGAAAGAATATAACTTTTAAAATATTCAAAGAAAACGATTTGAGGCTTTCTTTAGCAGTTTATTCTCTTCTATGATTTTTTTTTATAGCTTTAAATGTCTTTTACTTATTTAATATAGAACATGCAATTTTATATAGTGTAAGCATAAGATGTAATAATAATAATTATTATTATAATAATAAACTTACCCTTTTATTTTCATAAAATTTATCCAAGTCTTCAATGGGCGTAGCTGTGAGCTCCGGAGGAAGTTCCATTAATAATTTTTTGGGCAGAGGCATTCCGGCCTCTAAATTTGGGTCGGGTTCTAACGGCTCTATATGCAACTGCTCATCACTTTCTTCGCCCTTTTGGGCCATTTCTTTTTTTCTCGCTTCCTCCTCTGCTATTCGTGCTTCAATCGCCGCAAGGGACTCCCTGGTGAAGGGACGGAATGTAGGGGTTACTTCCTCGGAACACTCATCGGCTGACATGGCGGCTTCTTCACTCTGTTGAGGCGATTTGGCCCGCACTCGACTATTTTAGAAGGGATAGGGATAAGAGAAATATCCTGAAAAAAAAAAATAATTAAAATTATATATTACTCATATATTTTACAATAGATCTTTATTTCAAATTTACTAAATCAAAAATTCTCTCAATTATCAGAAAAATATTTGATGTAGGCCTATGGTAAATTTTTTAAAAATCTAGAACAATGTCTATTATAAAATAAGCAAAATATTATTTCCCGATAAAAAGAAAAACGAAATAATTTCAATATAAACGAATACTCTTCATAAACTTATATTCAATTCATATAAAAAGTTCTCATAAAATAACTGTTCATTACAGAAACACTATAAAATATCTTAGAAAATAATTAATTTAGATTATTATTACTACTATATATTCTTAATATATTGACGTTTAAAAGTTCTTCAATAATTATCAATATATAGAATAAATAAAAATATTATAAAATGATAATAATTTCATTGTAAATATTATTATTTATATATAAATTTCTATAAAATTATTTATCGCCTAATTTATAATTGATATTTATACATATATTTTGCATCATTTTAAAGTATTCTATCAAAAAGTTGCAATATTTTCTAATGTGCCTCTTAAAATTTTCAATGAACTGTTTATTGTTAATTACTAATTAATGTAAGATTATTTTTAATTAAATTATTTAACTTTATAATTATTTATTAGTTTTAAATTTTATCTTTTTATTAGTCGGATTATAGCGTGACGCAGTGATTAATAATACCATTAATAAGCTATTGTTAATGATTTTATACATATAAGAAATATTTAAATATCATAAGTTTAAACAAATATGAATTAGACATAATTATAATATTTTTCATTAAAATTTTAATCAAAAATTAAACCGATTTACACATTTTAAAAGAAATATACGCTTCAGATATTATCCTTATTTAATGATTTATAATTAATAAAAAGACAAATGTTTAAAAAATATGCGTAATCTTATATTTTTAGATACAGCAAATAATATAACAAAAAAATTTTTTTATATAAAACATAAAATAAAGAAAAATGATAATAGTCATAAAAATACAGTACTTTAACATTCTGCTGCATTACGTAAATAATAACGTTAAATTATTATAAAGTTATTTCTTTATTACTTTATTCGGAAATCCTATTGCTGATACATTAAAAATTATTTTCGAAAGATTTCAATTAATAAATAATTAATGTTTGTAGAATAACATCACATGTCAACTTACACAAATAAAAAAATGTAAAAAAAAAAAAATATTCTTGGGAAAAATTTAATAAATGCAACTTCCTATAATTCAATTTCTGAAACCTCTAAAAATAATATTGATTAATATATTTACTCTTGTTTAATTATTCTGTCCAATTCCCTTTTTTTCCCTTATATATTTAACTAAAAATTTATTTTTAGATGAAATACAAAATTAGAAACCTTATATATTAAAAAAATTCATACACAGCTTAAACCGTTTAAATCCTACTAGAAGAGGAAAATAAAAATATATATATATAGAGAGAGAGAGTTCCAAATTGTTTACTTAAAAAAAGCAGAAAACATTATAATTTTATTTGAAATTAAAGTATTTTCTAGACACAACTGTGTACAAGAACCGTAATTAAATATTCAAATATCAATCATGTTATTACTTTTTATTATTGTTAATTAAAAATAGTTATATTACTTAAAATATATAGTTTTGTATAATTGAAACCTATGTATAAAATATGATAATATTCAATTACTCAAAGATAAAAATAAATTGCTTCAAATTTCAAATAATTCTTCTTAATTGGAATACTTTTTTTTCAGTAAAATTTAAAAAAAAAAAAAGTGTTAAATCCATCAAGGATATAGGTTTATGTTCTTAAAATAGTTGTAAGGCATTATTTTTTGCATTCTAAATGATACGAAAGTATTTTTAAAATGTATCTTTTAGTGATTCCGGAAGTGATGCGAAGGAGCAACAACTTCTCCATCTCGTCGATCGTGTGAAGTAAAGAAAATACACAAAAGTAATCAGTCAATATACGTTTGTGTTTTTTTTTGTTTGTTTTTTTATATATCATTATCATATTTAAAAGAATGTAAAGGTATCGTTATGGTATGCATGGAAGTCACGGAACGATTGTACAAATCACCACCTGCAAGCAAACCTGTCTTCAGACTTCTCATTCGCTAACTGCACACTGCAACATCCGACCAGTTTTACTGCGGAGTAGTGGAACGCATGCGTTAACCATAATCGTTAGAAAACATCTCTGTATTAGTTTGACTGCAGTATGTCCTTGGTGATTTTGCTATCTGGTGCTCGCTGTCCTTAAAGAAATTCGTATCACACATACATATTAATAAAAAAAANAAAAAAAAAAAAAAAAAAAAAAAAAAAAAAAAAAAAAAAAAAAAAAAAAAAAAAAAAAAAAAAAAAAAAAAAAAAAAAAAAAAAAAAAAAAAAAAAAAAAAAAAAAAAAAAAAAAAAAAAAAAAAAAAAAAAAAAAAAAAAAAAAAAAAAAAAAAAAAAAAAAAAAAAAAAAAAAAAAAAAAAAAAAAAAAAAAAAAAAAAAAAAAAAAAAAAAAAAAAAAAAAAAAAAAAAAAAAAAAAAAAAAAAAAAAAAAAAAAAAAAAAAAAAAAAAAAAAAAAAAAAAAAAAAAAAAAAAAAAAAAAAAAAAAAAAAAAAAAAAAAAAAAAAAAAAAAAAAAAAAAAAAAAAAAAAAAAAAAAAAAAAAAAAAAAAAAAAAAAAAAAAAAAAAAAAAAAAAAAAAAAAAAAAAAAAAAAAAAAAAAAAAAAAAAAAAAAAAAAAAAAAAAAAAAAAAAAAAAAAAAAAAAAAAAAAAAAAAAAAAAAAAAAAAAAAAAAAAAAAAAAAAAAAAAAAAAAAAAAAAAAAAAAAAAAAAAAAAAAAAAAAAAAAAAAAAAAAAAAAAAAAAAAAAAAAAAAAAAAAAAAAAAAAAAAAAAAAAAAAAAAAAAAAAAAAAAAAAAAAAAAAAAAAAAAAAAAAAAAAAAAAAAAAAAAAAAAAAAAAAAAAAAAAAAAAAAAAAAAAAAAAAAAAAAAAAAAAAAAAAAAAAAAAAAAAAAAAAAAAAAAAAAAAAAAAAAAAAAAAAAAAAAAAAAAAAAAAAAAAAAAAAAAAAAAAAAAAAAAAAAAAAAAAAAAAAAAAAAAAAAAAAAAAAAAAAAAAAAAAAAAAAAAAAAAAAAAAAAAAAAAAAAAAAAAAAAAAAAAAAAAAAAAAAAAAAAAAAAAAAAAAAAAAAAAAAAAAAAAAAAAAAAAAAAAAAAAAAAAAAAAAAAAAAAAAAAAAAAAAAAAAAAAAAAAAAAAAAAAAAAAAAAAAAAAAAAAAAAAAAAAAAAAAAAAAAAAAAAAAAAAAAAAAAAAAAAAAAAAAAAAAAAAAAAAAAAAAAAAAAAAAAAAAAAAAAAAAAAAAAAAAAAAAAAAAAAAAAAAAAAAAAAAAAAAAAAAAAAAAAAAAAAAAAAAAAAAAAAAAAAAAAAAAAAAAAAAAAAAAAAAAAAAAAAAAAAAAAAAAAAAAAAAAAAAAAAAAAAAAAAAAAAAAAAAAAAAAAAAAAAAAAAAAAAAAAAAAAAAAAAAAAAAACATTTTTGTTATTATAACGAACGAAATAAAGAAAATAAAAAATTTAAATTTATGAAATAACCATATTTAAATTAAATATCAAGAAAATATTTTCAATTAAAGAAAGTAATTAATCGTAACATTTTGAAACGTAATAATATTGATGATGTTATTATTGCCTGGAAATAACGTCATAAAAATCTGAACTCTGTTCCTGTCAATAGTACGTTTTCTACAGGAAGATAGAAAGAGAATTAATGTTCGAATCTGCAGTATGACCATCCATCTTCTGGAGATACTGTATACCAGCCAAATCGTATTTTTAGACGGTTAGTTTCCTCTTTATATAGATATTACAAAAAAAAATCTCTTACAATATCTTTAAGATGTTCCTAATTTCCGATGACCTTTTAAATGTTTCCTTTAAAAAAACATTTAACACGAAAAAGATTTTCAAAAAGGAAGAGCAAAAGGCTTTTCTTTTATAAAAGGAAGGAAGATTTTCTAAGGACACGAAGTAAGTGCAATGATTTTCTATAACAAAATCAATACCTTACTTACTATAACGAAAATAATGATTTACTGAAACAAGAGCAATGATTTTTTTTTATTATAAAATTAATCACTTTCTAGAACAAAAAAGTAATGGCTTTTAAATATAATCTATGATTTCTTATAGTAAAAATAATTTGTTTTCCTCTAACTAAATCGATAAATTTTTAAAAGAGGAATAATATAGGGCTTATTTTGTTAACAAAATTAATATATTTTAAAATATAAACAAGTTTTGTCTACTTTAAAGAAAGTAACAATTTTCTAATGTAATTTAATAATTTACTACAGTGAAATTAAATTATACTTTAATAATTTTTTATATAACCAAACTCTTCTTTGATCTTAAGCTGAAATGTATCCTTGACAAAAGTAACAATTTTCTAATAAAGTTTAATCACTTTCTACAATAAAATTAAACTTTAATAATGTTTTTCGCAACTGAACTCAATCCTTTCTAAAATAAATCGCATTTTTTCAATTAAAAAAAACGTCGTTTATATACAACAAAACCAACGCTTTTATCTAAGAAGTAATAGTATTTTTTCGAAAAAAAATCAAGATTTTTCTAAAGAATAAGAAATATTTTGTGTTATAAAAGTAATAATTTTTTAAAACACAGGTAATGGATCTCTGTAACAAATATAATAATTTTTTAATATATTTTTTTGTGTGTGTAAGAAAACTAATGATATTTAGAGAAAAACAATTACTCTCTCTCTAATATAAGTTGAGAAGCATTAATAAAAGTAATTGTATTTCACTTACAAGAAAGTAATCTTTTATAAAAATGAACTATCAAATTTCCCAGTTGATTTCTCTTACATAAATTATTATACTTTTTCTATTAAACTAAAAATAACAATAATAATAAATTTTATTGTAACCGTTCAAACTGCTTTGAATTCCC